CGCACACACGTTGACTGGAAGCCAAAACATGCTCTATAAATCCGTTCGCGTCGAGAGGGGCGTGGCAAGGGGAGTTGTCTTAGCGGCTTAGCCTTCAGCCTGCGGCCAACTTAAGTCTGGCTACTGACTGCAGCAACTACCTAAGCCCCACTCACTCTCTCCCTCTCTCTCTATCTCCCTCATTCTGTGTACACCCCTGTATTACCAGATTACAGCAAGTGTGAGTGAGCAAATAGCTGAGAATAACTGAGATCTGAGAACTGAGAACTGTGAGCTGAGAATTGCGACTGCCGTTGCCTTTTGTCGCTTTGGCCGTGCTTAAGGCGATATTTGCGTTATTTACGATTATTTACAATTTAAAATTTACATGCGCCAGCCCGCCCCCCTCCTCCTCCTCCTGCAGCGCGTCTGTCTGTTGCGGTGATGTTGTACATCCTTCGCCTCGTGTATCTTGATATGTTGATTTTTATTTATATCACAATTACTTGGCTCTAACTACAGACTCGCTGTGCCTAACTGTGGGTAAGCGTTTCCATTTGGCTAGTGTAGCTGCATGTTGACAGATAATTAAAAATAATACGAGATTTGAGCTATTGTAGCTGTGAACAGGCATGAGAGAGTTTGAAATAGTGCTTATATAGTATAGCAATGTATATATTTATATAAAATTTTCTATAATTTAAATTATCTTATACTTAACAAATGTAAAAAAAAAAAAAATAAATAATATATCAAATAAAATTTTTTAAAAATATATATAAATATATAATATTTACATATATAAAGACTTCAACAAATAATTCAGAATTTTTTTTTTTAGAAATTTCACTGCTCAATAGTTTTTTTCTTGCTAAGGCCTATAAATTATATAATTATGATATGTATTACATATGTATTATACATGTATTACATTACATATATTCATTTATCATTAGAATTTCATAATATTCATATGTTCACTTTTAGATATGAGCTGAGTGGGATTCAAAAATCATTGCCAACCAGTTTTGAGCAATTTTCTCATCTCTTGCGCTCTGCAAATTTATGCGGTGGTGCGATATTTAGCCGCCGGCATTTGGATAATCGAAGCCGCGCTGCGCTGCAGCGCACAAACTTCTGTGCAACTGCAGCCGCTGAAGAGGCAACCCAGGCTCAGCCACTGCCCGACTCGCCCCGCTCGCCCCGCACCGCCAGCAACCAGCTGTGGCAGTCAGCATCACAGTTTGGCATCTTTTTGAGGCAACTAATTGAATTATTAGCGGCTGCAGCCAGTGAGTTGAGGCTGTTGTAGTTGTGGTTGTGGTTGTGGCGGCCTGGTGGCTGGGTCTGTGGCCGGTCCGTCTGCCCGTTGTGTGCACATTGAAATTATTGTCGGTGGTTGACAAGGATCAGCGCCGACGCCTTATTTGTGTTCATGCTCATTGCACAGCCACAGCCACAACCACAGCCACAACCACAGCCACAACCACAGCCACAACCACAGCCGAGCCCACTCCACGTTAACCAACTGCTGCTGCTGCCCTTGGGCAATGGGTGGACCAAGCTCTAACAAGCGGGTGTTGGCCACGTTGCAGCCCAGTTGGCAAGGGAACTTGGGCTGCTGTTGCCGCCGGCTGCCGACATGTGCACACGTATTGTTCTTGTAAATCATTGATTAATTCCTACTCTTTTTGCATATGATTATTTAAAGTTGCCAGCCGAGATTCTCATTCTGATTCAGATTCATATTCAGATTCCAATAGAATTTGCCGGAGTCAGGCACAATTAAATTATGTCCACAGCCCTTGGAAAAACCCAATGTAAGGGAAAAGCAACTGTTGATGTGCTAAATACTAAATACTCTAACAATGTAAATGTATATGTATACGTGTATGTCAGTTTGCTGAGACGATCTTTGCATGGATTAGCATTCATTTATATATCTGTGTGTGAGTACTCAAATCGATCGTTTATGTAAAACTCAATTCTGCAGTAAATCCCGTACAATAGAGTAGTGTTCCTTCCGAAGTGAGTATTATTATAAGTAGTATTCTAAGTATTCTCAAGATCCATTAAAATGGTATTTCATAGAATATTGTTTTATATTGTTGAAGTGGGCTATAATTACTTCTACATACATCCAATTCCCACTACAGGAGACTTGAGCTATTATAATATTAATTACAATTCTAAATAACAATTTCATATAGCAACTCCTTTCATACTTATCATTAAAAGCCTGCAAAGTGACTAAACTCATTTAAATATGTATTTAATGAGCTTTAATATCATCCAGAATTCAACTTATCTATTAATCTAACATATTTCTTTCTGATCAGCTCGTGACATCCTTAGCTTTCAAATGAAAATACTTTCAGTTAGGGCATACAGTGCGTCATGATATAACACATGTTCGTACAACCCTTTGTTATCAAGAATCCAATTCCACGCTGGGATATGAGATGCACACGCTTCCCTGACACTCTGACATTCTGGTCTGGCATCAGGCAAATGTCACGCATGTCACGAGGCCCAAACAATGACCAGATATAATCAGAATGTCTTGCAGGACTACATATCCTGACACTTTAGCAGTTTCTTTAGAAGAAATGTGGAAAATGTGGAAACTCGCAGAAGTGAAAACTTGCATATCTGTTGTCCAAGTTTCTGCTGCATTGTGCAAACTTTTTGTGCACCAACTTTGAGCTTAAGAGTTTTCATCGAGTAGTTGACACTAGTTGGACTAGAAGCAGTATGGGTATATCATATATATATCTATAGAGTAAGAGAGAGATACAGATAGACAGCTCTCATAAGTGGAGCACACCAAGACCAGCAAATGGCCTGCGCTTCCGCACAATTAGTTCGTTCCAATTGTGCCCCTTCGGGTGTCTCCAGGAATATTTAAGAGTGTAAGAAAAAAGGAAAACCATTTTCTGAGCTAGCAATTTACAAGGTGTTAGACTTAAGAGATGGAAGCGGCACTAGCTGGTGGGCTGGATGGGGGGTTGGGGGTAGGAAGCGACAGGGTAGCTGTTCTCGGCAGACAAAAACAAATCACTTAGCCTTAATGGCTTATGAAGGCAGCGCATTTAACCAAAAACCTCAAGCAGTTAAGCGAAACGACAGTGGGCGTCTGCAGCAAGCCAAGCAAAGGCAGCACAAGCAGGAGAAGGAGGCGCTGCAGCAATAGAAGCTGTCAAATGGTTGTCTTTACACACAAACGCACACACACATACACACACACACAGAGGAAAGTGGAACATTGCACGCTGCTGACGCTGCAGGCGCTGGGTATGCGAGAGAGAGAGAGAGTGAGAGAGAGAGAGAGAGAGTGTGTGTGCAAAATGAGATGTGAGAACTGAGACCTGGGACTGGGTCTTCAGCTCGCATAATGGGCGACCCAATTAGGCAAAGTGAGTGTTGGTGTGTAATGCATATGAACCATAAAACAATTGAACAATGCGCTGACAACAATTAACAAACAGCCGCAAAGACAATCGAAAGGATAAAGACCCGAGAGCCTGAAAGCAGCAGGAAGTCAAATATTTATGTGGAGACGCAAGTACCTGCATGAGTATAAGTAATGCGAGCGTCAGCAAAAGAACAACCACAGTGTAATTTTCTCCCAATTATGTATTCAGCAAGTCGTTGAATTGGTCTCCGTTAGCCTTACAGGCCTCATTCCCCTTTGATTAGCTAAAAGCTATAGATCCTACGGCAGGCATATGCCTGGCCGATAAATTTCTCACAGCTGTCTGTCATTTGTTTATTAGATTTGTCAATGCAACAGTTTTTTGTCCAGCACATCCCCCCGGGCGAGCCATCCAAATCATCGGAATTGCAAATAGATTGAGCACAAAAAACTCTTGTCCGGCACAAATGCCGGGTGTCACATGCAGGCGATGCGTATAAATTAGAGAATGCCACCGAGTGGCCATTGTGTGTGGCATCTTAAATGTCAAAAGTGACACCCCTCGCCCTTGCACCCTGCACCCTGCACCCTGCACCCTCGCCTTTGCCAAGTGCACCTGAAGCGCTTCAACTTTGACTCAAACCGCCGGCGAAACAATAAATTTCCCTTTGGAAGCCATTGACTAAGGACAAAGAGGAGGCGCAGCTTCCAACCTGACCAAAGCCCTTACATATCACACACACACACTCGTGCACACACTTGCTTCCCATTTGGGGGCTGGGCAAGAAAAATGATGACCACAATGCCCTGGCAACTGGACGCACGGCTGAACATAAGGGCATAAAAAAAGGAGAACCGTTAAGGAACAACTTCTGGGCTAATAAAACACAAAAAAAAAAAAGAAGAAACGCAAAAATCAAAAGGCAAAAACTAAGGGAAAAGCCTGCGGAAAAACCTGTTCCAAATGCATTTGGCCATTATGTGCTAGTTGGAGGGTGTTTAAGCGGAAAAGGTAAGTGAAGCTGGCGGCCCTGCCTGGGCGGGGGCCGGGCTTTTAGTCAATATCTCAGGGTATGCTGCAATTTTTCTTCATTTTTTTGGCTTTTGTCACCCAGCATGGAGCTCAGGCGGAAGTTAAGCTGTTGTTTATGTGTCATCGTAAATCATGTTCAATGTACACGAAACAATTCCACGTAAGTGGATAATGGCAACGCTCACAGGCTAGTCCAAGTTAGTTTTATGCTGTCGATGAAAATTTAGTTCCTTGAAAGCTGAACCGACACTGTTGCACACAGCAGTAAATATGATATTCAAAAGGTTGAGAAAAAGCTCAGCGGAGTTTTAGGAGAACGGATAAGAAGAACCAGATGGAACCCAAAGGAAAAATGTATCCGGCGATGAAAGAGTACTTCACTTCACCAAGATAAATATGTTCAAAGTAAAGTAAGAGCAGGCTAAATGGGTTGCCTGTCAATTTAAGAGCCATATCGAAATAATATTTACCACAGTCTTATGTATATCTAATGAAATAATGACCGATTTGTTCTGCCTAAAATATATAAGACATCATATTGTATTTAAGAGCCTCATATTGCTATCGACCATGAAGAGGCACAGTTTTGTTATTCCACTTTACATTTTGCCTATATTTATTGGGACTCGAGCGGAGGTGCCTAACAGCAAAGGTATACAAACTAGCCAAAGCTAAAACATTGTATAATCCACTTCTTCTTTAGCTATACTCGATCAACTGATCTCAAGTGATGAACCCAAAGCCTTGGCAGAAACTAATTTTAAAAAATTTGTGAGCACCAGCAGTCCCCATAGTTCAACATCCTCTGCGAGTCCCCTCAACTCAACAGGGACAATCTCAGCGGGATCCCCGAATTCAACAATAGCATATCCATTCGTAGCATCATTGCAAATCAAAAAGGAAAAGTTTATGCATCTCTGTGGCGCTACAATATTGAGTGCCAACTTCGTATTGACGGCGGCCCATTGCTTTCTGAAATACCCCAAGCTGAAGCCCAAAAATTATCTCGTGGCCGCCGGCACCAATCGACTGTTCACTAGAAAAACAAAACACTTTTATGTTAGCAGTTTGAGAAAATATCCCAATTTCAAGCCCCTGAAGGGCCACGATATTGCACTGCTGAAGCTAGCAACGCCCATACCGATAGACAATGTTCGATTCGCAGCCTTAGACTTTCGGGATACCACTAGGAAGCCCAGCAATGTGAATACTCTGCTCATCGGCTGGGGTCGCACCAAGCCAGGCGTACCAAAGGACCTAGAAACCGTCGCCTTCCGCACCATAAAAGATGAAGAGTGCCTTGTTAGTCATAGATTTAAGTTTTTCACTGATTCAGAAATTTGTGCGATCCACACAACGGGAATTCGTGGAGCCTGTGATGTGCGTATTTATATGGGAGGTGCGACTGTCGGAATTTCTAATGTCAAACGAATATGATTCCTTCCAGGGCGACTCGGGTGCACCTCTAATAGACGTGAAGAAGCACAAGCTCTTTGGCCTGCTCTCGTATTCACGCAAGCCCTGCGAGCCGCACAAGGTATACGCCTTTACGCGAATCAGCCCCTATGTTAGCTGGATCAAGGAGCAAATGGGGACTATGTAATAGCAAGTCAAATAAGAATAAGAAACGCACTAAATAAGTTTCTCAGTGTCTATTCGGCTTAATGTATGCAGTCAAATTCCCACTTGACGCTTGCCTCGTTCTTATCCCCAAATGCAAATAAAGGAAGTCACTTAAAAAATTATGCCGCCCACTTTGGCAAGTGCCACGGGATATGCAGAGATGAAAATGTGTTAATGTGCCGGGCCGCAACGCTTTTAGAATTCATGTCAGTTTTATAAGGTAACAGATTCACGCGCGATTGTCACTCACGCTGATTTCCGCAACAGGCCCCCAGAGAGGACCCCCGTCGCCCCACTCAAGTCCGTGAGAATGAAGGCGTGCCCCAACCAGGCGCAGGCAATACAAATGACAGTTACGTGTGCGGGTATTCCATTTCTGTTAACTGCCTTTTTTATTGCATACCCTGTACTGTAAGCAGATAGACAGGGCATATTGGTTGCTAAGGCATGAAAATAGGCAAATTGGAGATGATTTAATTTGTATTTACTTTGAATAAAAATTGAGCTCTCGGTAATATTAAAAGGGGTTACAAGTGCTCAATATATTTAAAGAAAAAGTCAACTTTCTCTCTTATTTTTCAAAATATTTACTTATGCTGACACAGCTGCACTCTGCCCATTGTTGACATTGTTTCTGAACAGAGTTCAAGGCACAAGTCATTGATATATTTACTTATCTGAAGTCATATATACTGGAGATAGTTAACTGCCGTCGCAGTACAATTTAAGCAATTGTGAAATGAGGACGCGACTTCTTTGGGCCTTAATGACCATTATCCTTGCCTGGAGCTGCAGCTCTGCTGGCGCCTACAGACTGCTGGACTCACTGGACGAACCTTCGGAAAGCTGTCCAGCGGGCAGATTGAGCGCACAGCATAAGACATATTACAAAGTGGGTAAATTGAACGAGGCGCACGATAAGCAAACTTGCGGCATATCCGACCAGCGCCACAAACCACTGCGACTGCTGCTGCGCATCTTCAGCATCAGGAGATTGGAGCCGCAAAACGTAATACCCGGACATCATGTGGAGCGCAGAGCTGGGCTCTTCAGAGACCCTCGACATATAGAGAAGCCCAGACGAAAATTGATTCTGATTTTAAACGAAAAGCCCCATGATATGCATCCAGGCAATGCTCGTTTCATGTAACATATTTCTCATATTTATAGTCCATCGAGTTTTTGATTAGTTTTAAGTGCTTATAATTAAAGAAGTTTCCTAGAACACATGCGACTAGGTTTGGCCATAAATTAAAAGCATTTTGCTGTCGCAAAGGATTAGGCCATCAAAGAAAGGGACTTCAAGCTGAAATATCTTTAAGAGAGTTTTGCCAATAAATAATAAGACTCACATATGCGCAGCTTTGGGCTGTGACATAAAAAGCTTCCATGGCACTTGATTGCGGTTGCACAACCACCCAGACACCCACCCACCTAGCCAGCTAGTCAGCCGGCGTGCACAAAGCCACTCGCATAAAAAATGATGTTATATGCATGACCCTAAATTAATCTAGCGAAACCTTTTCCCTTTGCAACGAGAGCCCCAACTCTGCTCTGGCCCGGATACATCAAAGCCACTGAAGTATGACAGAAACGAAGCTATTTGAATATCCACGTAAATGTCATATGCGAACAAATTAAATTTGGCTTATGACCAGCTCAGCAACAGAGTCGAACAGACTGAGAAAGATAAATAAAGAGAAAAGAGTGCGAGTGAGTGGGAGAGGGAGAGAGGGAGAATGGGGGAGTTTGCTGCAGCTTTTTTATGTCGAGATCGTAAAGAAGTGGTCCTTGGCCATTTGTATATATCATAATTTAAAATATTTCTTCTTTTTTTGTGCCATAAAATGGTTCATTACGGCCTTCAAGTACCTAAATAAAATACAGATTAGGTAAATATTATAACTGATCTATAAAAAGTACTACATCAGAGACTTCCTTTTTTAAGTTTATATAACTCGATTTCATATAAGAGAATTTTTATCCTAAGAGAACTTTTATCTCTTTATACCCTGTTTTATATTTTACATTTTATTTGTATTTTTTTTTTTTACATTTTTTTAGAAGACTTTCAGATAAAAAAGAAGTGCTGAAAACTAGCTGCGCAATATGTCGCTTGCAGCGAATCGAAATTATGCAAAACAAAAGTAAGAAATAGAATTTCATTTGAAATTCAAAATTCTTGGCGCAACAAGACGTTGGCAGACTGTCGCAATGGGAGACTCATTCGCATGCAGTTGGCGTGCCGCAAAGTGGATATTGATATTTTGTTCTTAAATTTTGTTATTTATGTGGACACGCTTCAGCACCCAGTCGCAGCCCCAGCCCCAGCCACAGCCCCAGACTCAGTTCCAGCCCCAACCCCTGCTCAAATACATACATATATTTATATATTCCATATAAGCAAAACAGAAGTTTACAATTTGCACAGTCGAGCGACATTTTTGCCAAGTTGTGCAAATTTAACGCGACATTGTGTGAGTGCCTGGCCTACTACCACACCCGCCGGCCCTTGCCCTTGCCCTTGCTCTTGCCTTCTGCAACTTTTTTTCTCTTTTTTAAGGGGGGCCGTGGGCGTGGCTATGTCCGCCCTGGGTCCCTGGGTCTTGTCATGCCCATTGACATGCATGTCGTGTGCCAGAGCAGAGGCCGCCGCTTAACTTTGACAGACCAAACCAAATAACCCGCCCTCGCACCCCACTTCGCAGCTTTTCCAAAAATTTTGCCATAAATTTCGCAACGTTTTCGACACATTCGAGAAGTTGTTTCTAGCAACCACTTGAATTTTTCAATTGTCACAAATTTATTCTAATACAGCGTGAAATTTATGAGTGACAAATTGAATTTGAAAATTGAGTAATATTTTTACTTTAACATGGGGCCAGATAAACTTGAGAGAAGAAAAAAAAAAGTAAAAAATAAATATTTTATTAAAAAAAAAAAAAAAAATGCAAATATGTTTATTATATATATAATATATATTATAAAAATATATTATTACTTGTTTTTATTTTTTATTTTTTATTTATTTATATAATTATTTTTATATGAATTCAACAAAGTATTTCTATAAATTGAATATTTATAAAAATGTATTATAATTTTCAGTATTATTTTAGAAATTCTTTTAGCCAAAATATATTAAAGACTCGTTCTACTTTATTCATTCAACTGCACGAATGTGTTTGATTGATGATTGTTTTCTGACCAACGCCCGCCTGGGCAGCCACAAAAGCAAATCACATAGTTGGGCCCATGTCAGAGTGATTCGATATGGATTGGTTTGGCCGCAGGACATTTGTGGGCACTAGGCACTGTAGTGGTCGTAGCATATCAGACTGGCTTAAGGATATGCGCGTGTTTTATATTGTTTCAAATGGACCACAACACTAAACACTCCATAAATAAAACCATTAGAGGCGCCATTAAGTGTGGGTGGGGTAAAAGAAATAATATTCAAGTGAAGCAATTTTTTGTTTATCATTTTTATGTGCGCCCTGAGTATGTGGGCGTGTGCGGGAGTGTGTGTGTGTGTATGTGTGTGTTTGACATACGCAATCATATAAATCTTAATGTTTATAAATCACTTCGTATTGCTATGCCCCAGGGTCACTTTTTTACGATAAGGCAAACTTAAGGGAAACTAAATGCCTGAAATTGTTGAATTCACTCGATTCTAAGATATCTAGAAATGGATCAAAAATCAAGTAGAGCTACTTTACAAGAATAGACATATTGAGAGCTTCCATAAGCTAGTACATAAAATAGACTTGGCAGCAGAGTGGTATATCATTATGATTTTAAGTACGATGAACCAAAAGAAAAATATTTCTTTTGCTTAAAGTGAGATTTTCAGCTCGATTTCTCAAGAGATTGTTCTGTGGCATTTTTAATATGCAAATAATTTGATGGCCAAATGGCTGCCAACTGTGACCCAAGCCACAGATGACAATGCCCAACGCCCTCTGCAAAAGAAACATGCGAAATCTATTCAAGAGTCAAGTTGACAACAATGCAACGAGGCCTACCGTGGCACTTGCCATGCCAAGAAGCAGGAACAGGATGTGACCATGGCATCTGGTTCGGGATCTGGATCTCTCCCCGCCGCCTCACCATTTGAATATGACACACAGATGACAGCTGCTCCAGCTCGGCTCGGCTCGGATTCGTACTCTTCCCGGCTCTGGGGTGGCCGCTGATGATGCGTGCCCATTGTGCGCATTTGACGTTTGGTTTATTAATCAGTTTGGCCTGCGGCCAGGCCAGACTATGCCAGGGCAGGGCAGGGCAGGGCTAGGGCCAGGGCCAAGCACAACCAAACGCCGTCACAATTTTCTACAAATGAATAATTTTTGTGCAACACACACAAAAAAAAAAAAGAAAATGAAATAAAAGGCAAAGTCAAAAAGCAGCCGCCGCACAAGGACTGGCCACGAAGCTCAGTTTATATTTTTGTGGCGCAGCTCGCATTTTAATTTCTCACAAAAGAAAAATAAAGTCAAACAAATGTCAGTCGCGTGTTAATCAACTGTAAATAAATGGCGCAAAGATTAGAGAGAAATGCAAAAAAAAGGCCCGTTAGGGATGCTGCACATGGAGCAGGCTAGCAGATGCCCTGTAATCACGATTCTTATCCTTCGACAACTTAGAATCTTTTCAATAGACGATTCCATATATATATAAATATATATTTTTTATAGTATATATATAAAATATATTTTATATTATTAATTGTTGCCAAGATATACATTTGAAAAAACTTTTTAAAATTTAAAAAAAAAATACATAAATTTAAATAAATTATATAATAAATATGAAAGCCTTTTTATTACATTTTAACGCTCAACCCAAATGTCTTCAACTTTTACAGGGTATATAAATCACATACTGTGAAAAAAAAACCTACGACAGTCCTGAAAATACCGTACGCAAAACACATAAAAAATGGGGTGTGATGAAGGCTAAAAAAAAATATAAAATAAAAAACCCAAACAAATCTGAAAAAAATCGGCTTCGAGAATACACTTAATGGTTTTTTAAATGTTTTTTAAATGCGCGTGAAAAATCTGTCACTCGAAAAGCAAACAAAGAAAAAAAAAGTCGAAACTCGGCAAACTTCAAA